CTGTTGATATAACAGAGCCAGTAACCAATAGTCCAAACAGTGCTGGGGATGCAGGGTCCACAGAAGCTGTTGATAAGCACCATCACATTGTATGGTGTCCAGGTAACGATGAAGGCCAAGAGAATTGCTAAGATAGTCCTGGTCACTTTTTTTTCTCTAGATGGGGGTGGTTTCTTTTTGGCTGGCTGCTTGGTCATCTTGACAATTTTACGGGCTACGCTGTTCTGCTTCTCATCCCCATTTTGGCCAGAGGTACCTACAATCTCCACGGTTGTGTTGGTTGGGACACAACAGTCCCCCTTTTGGGTCTTTGTGACTATCCTGATGCATGTCAGCTTGGAGTTCTCAGCTTTGGAGTGGGGTTGAGAAATGGAAGCCCTGTTGGCTTCTTTGGCAACTTCATCCTCCTTCATGTTGGAAGCAATGACACTGACAGAGGTGGAATCATTGGAGCTCTCCTTCTCCTCTCCTTGAATACAGTTCTCTGTTACACTCTCTCCAGTGGCTTTACCATTCTGAATTTTGCTATGGTCCAACCCATCTTCGCTGACTGGGATGTTGTTATTGTTTGGTTTCACTATTTTACCTTGGACTAGAGTGGGACAAACTGGATCTTGGTTTTGTGCTGGTTCCTTTTTTCCTTTTTTCATCCTGCTCTTGCTGGCACGAGATATTTGCCAGTAGAGAATGGTCATAATGACAACGGGCAGGTAGAACGCTGCAATGGCAGTGCCAAAAGTGACAGCAGGATTGGAAAAGAACTGGATGTAGCAATCCCTATCGGGAACTGTTCTTCCCCCAACGATAAACTGCCAGAACAGAATTGCAGGTGCCCACAAGATGAAGGACAGCACCCAAGCGGCAGCAATCATCATGCCTGCCATCTTAGTGGTCCGCTTTACAGGGTATGTCAGAGGCTTGGTGACACAAAAGAATCTGTCAAAGCTAATAATGAGAAGGTTCATGACAGAGGCATTGCTGACCACATAGTCAAGAGCCAGCCATAAGTCACATACTACAGGCCCTAAGGGCCAGTAGCCAATCACAGTGTAAAGTGTGTATAGATTCATGGAAAAGACGCCGATGATTAAGTCAGCACATGCCAAGCTGAACAGGAAGTAGTTGTTGACAGTCTGCAGGTGCCTGTTCACTTTGATTGACACCATGACCAAAATGTTCCCAATGATAGTCACTAGACTGAGAGACCCGGCTACCAGGACTATGAAGATCACCTCAACTGTTTTATAGGGGCTCCCCAGTGCCATTTCATTGTCCGTAGAAGCATTTATGTACGTTGAGTTATTCATTTCTGTGTCTATAACAAGAAACCTGATGACCAATTATCACTTAAGCCTGCAGAGGAAAGAAAGAAAACAAAATCATTATGAAATTTACCCTTGATTCTTAAGAAATAAAACCCAAGAAAACTGTATGGAAAGCACTTAAATATAGTAACTTGGAGTGAGCTGGACTATTTGTGTATGAGTTATCTGAAAAATTGTGTGATTTGTACTCTTCTTTGAAATAGTATACAGTTGGGATTAAAATGCAATTGAAAAGCTTTTTAAAAAAAAACATATTCTATTTGTTTATGAAACTATGAAACTATTTCCATTTAAGAATTATTTGCAGTTTTAATTTGGATCTCTGTTTGCATTCACTCCCCATACCTCCAAATTTAGTTTGTTGTGATTCAGGGCTTTTTCAAGCCTGTATCTAAATTAAACCCGTTGGCGGGTGGAGGAGCCCAACTTGAAGAACATATAGTTATTAAAATATTGAAAGCAGATAAGTTTTATTTGGAACTGGGTGGTAAAAGATAATTTAAGTTGCTTTCTGTTTCTCTCTTTTTTTTTCCCAAAGTGCCAACCCGAAAGCCTTTTGTGAGGTTCGTGGAACAAGTTGGTGTACTCTTTCCCCATAATTTTCTTATACTGCAATTACTTTTTGTCAGAGTTTGCAAAGATGTTGGTGCTGCTTGAGAAACTGAAAAATAATTATGACAAGATACTCTACTGATAAAAATCTGCATAGCTCCATTGAAGTCAACAGAATTATGTGACTCCTATCAGCTCAGGGTCTGGCCATCTATTTAGAAACAAATCTGCATATATGATATTATATTTATTTTTTCACAAATTTCAACAAGCTTTTTAAAGTGGTTCTGTACATTTTTACATGCACATGTATGAAAAAAATGCTCTTTTAACAGGAAGAATTCATCCTCTGTTTTGTGACATCATAAATGGACAAAGTCATTTGTGTTACAAAAATCTATGGCATAAAGTAGCAGATGAACCACAAAGAAAGAAACAAACAAAAAAGAATCCTGTCTTCTTCATATTTATCAATCCCTTTTTTGTTCTGTACAACATACTGACATTACCTAATAAATAATACTTAAAATACTAGTAATATACACATGACAGATGACCAAGAAAATAGCATCTGTTTTTGCCTTATGGTTATCAACCACACTTTTCTACATCCCACTGAAATCAATAGAATGCAGTAGAAGTGTGCAGGTTTTGAGTGCACATTATTTATGTGCTGAGCTCAAGGGATTATTAAAGCATGAAGGCCAGATGTGGTACAGAAGTCAGATTGTTTCTAATTGGAACGTTTCCCAAAGTTTTCCAGAAGGCAATGGTACTTTAAGATACAACTTTTAAGTTTGTGTGTGACTAAAGAAAGAAAACAAATCAATTCAACTGGTGTGATAGACATTTACTACTGCAGGGAGATCAAGAGATTATTCTGTGGTACTTGATATTAACCATATGACTTTACATTCATGCAAATGTGTGCATGCATTTGTGGGGGCACATAGTTTCATAGTTGATAGGGTCAGAAGGGACCTGAGCTGATCATCAAGTCCGACCCCCTGCCATGGGCAGGAAAGAATGCTGGGGTCAAACGACCCCGGGTATGTGATTATCTTGCCTCTTTCTGAAGGCCCCAAGGGTAGAAGTGAGCACCACTTCCCTTGGAAGTTGGTTCCAGGTCCTAGCTGCCCTGACTGCGAAGTAGTGACTCCTGATATCTAGCCTGAATCTACTCTCCATCAACTTATGGCTGTTATTCCTTGTTACTCCCGGTAGTGCTCAGGGGAACAGGGACTCTCCCATTGCCTGCTGGTCCCCCTTGGCCAGTTTATAGCTCGCCACCAGATCCCCTCTCAACCTTCTCTTGTGGAGGCTGAACAGGTTCAGGTCCCATATCCTCTCCTCATAGCATCTGCCCTGCTGTCCCCAAATCATGCAAGTGGCCCTCCTCTGGACCTTC